GAGTTCGAACCGACGGCAAGCCGAAGCCTACCAGAAAGAACCCCAACAACCTCAATCTACCACCAACACATCCAATAGACGGAAAATACCTCAGAGGCGGCCCAAGAAGCTGAATTCGATCTCAGTGAAGGAGTCCGATGAGAAGATGCAGTTCCTCACACTGACTGCCGCTACGAGCTTCATCGCAGCTGCCGCCGCAACGAGCTTCATCGCCGCTGCCAGGGGCTCCGACCCATCCACAGACCCACTTCCCTTCCGATACACCCCCCAGACCTCAGATTCGGCGACCAATCCACAAATCACACCACAAGAGGCGGAGTTGGGAATAGGCGGTCGCGACAAATCTTCCGCCGTTGGAGGCGCCGGAGACGAGATGGCTTCTGGGATGGGCCGAGCAATTGGGGACGACCACCGGCCTGGTTCCGCCGCCGCTGAGGAAGGCCGAAAGAGGGAGAATTAGAGAGTCGCCGGAGGTAGGGTTTGGCCGATTTGGGGGTGTCGGGAGAGCTTAGGATTCGATAGTAGCTATCCCATTATTAATATACCTTAATTACGCAAATTGTGTAAATCTGAATGATTTATTCAATCTGCAAATAATTACTAGAATTATGAAAATATCAACAAAAATAATCAATCATGGGATTTACAAAAAAATACTTTTCTAAAAATATCATGTTAATGGCAATTTTTATGTAAATATTGTTTAATAATTGTTATTTATTTTTTGTGTATTTAATTACTCAAATTATGGATAATTAAGAAAATAATTATACCATATTTATTTACATTTTTAAGATACCTAAATTACATAGTCGAGTAAATTTAGTTGATTTATTCAATCATAATTTTTTTATAAAATTATTCTAAAATAATTGTATTAATGGCATCTTCTATTTAATTGTTTTTCAGGACTTTTTTATTTTTGTCTATAAAAAATGTGGGTCTCGATTTTGTTTCGTATGCTGGGCAATTAATTTTGTAGTAAAACTAAATATCATTTTTTGTATTTTATCAATAAGGTATGAAATCGAATTATTTGGTGTACCATATATTGATCCAATATACCCGCTTATAGTAAAAATTGGTATCTCCATATTTTTATATTGCTAAGCATTTTACTCGATATTAATAAAGAGAAAAATCTAGAGAATACTATAGTTTGTAAATGTGCGTGGAACATATCAAATTATTTCATATATACTTGAATCACATTGTAGTCAAATCGAATTTTTGAATAAATATTTTAAAATGACACCTATTTCAAAATAAATATAATGTAATCTATAGTTAGTTACTTGCATCGTACGGGTCGTGTACCAATTTTAAATAGACATATTTAATGTAATTTTACACAATTTATATTTTATATAACATTTCAACAAATTTATTACATATTGTTTTCATATTTTTAATTTATAAATATTATTAATGAGTATTTCTAATTTATAAATATTAAAAAATATTTTTTACCCGTGCATCGCACGGAATTCGTACTAGTTATTCAAGTATGAGTTGAGTAAGTTTTAACCACATTTAGGCCTATACTTAGGAGCCCATATTTAGGATCATGTTATAACCTATAAATACATCATGTTATTAGTCTCCTCTTATCATAATTCACGCCCACTTCTCGACTTCTTAAGCAAGACTTCGGACAAAACTAAGTGCAAGAGAAACAGAGAAATCATGAATATGGATTTTTTTTTTTTTAATTTGCAAAGAGTTTGTATGTCATCACATAAATTTTGGTAACAAAGTTATAAGAAGGAAATTATTTGAAAATTACTTAGAATTATTAAACAATGTATTAAAAGTGTTAATAAAATTTTTCTAGATTAACTAAATTATTTATATTACAAATCAATATGGAATAATATTATATAGATAAGATATTTTTGAATTGAAATTCTAGAACGACACTTCTTTTAATAATGGGTGAAGTATTAAGTTTTAACCACATTTAGGCCTATACTTAGGAGCCCATATTTAGCATCATGTTATAGCCTATAAATACATGGAAAATTTACACACATGCGAAGCTCTAAGGGGAATAATTGCATATTTACGGCTGTAAACAATTATTTGCATCAATACCTGATTGATGCTAAATAATTATATGTATGCCTAATCTCTTTGCACCAAAAAAAACGCCCACAACCTAAAATTTCAGATGTCATTTGTAATTAAATAACATCATTAATATATCAATCCGTTATATATGGAATGAGAATATATCCAACACATAACCTAGAATATTTTTATGATGTAGTGGTCCCATATATGTAGAACACACACGACCTTTCTGTTATGCACAATATAATCACGTGTGTTACACAATATATAATACGTATATATAATATTTATAATCTATTGGCAGAACACACACGACCTTTCTGTTTGTTATGCATATGATTTTTATCCATAAATGAATAATTTTATTTTTTGTCACTGAATTCACCCTTGTATGTTTAGTTTATAAACAACTTATTGGATTTTCTTAACTTGCATATGCTTGTACAATTACAAAAATATACCGTCTGCGTATGTTGGGTATATACAGTCCCATGTTTTTTACAAAAATATATTCGCTTATGTCGAATATATACATGACATATACAATTTTACATACATACGAAAAATATAAACAATATATATACGAAAAATATACAATATATATACCTGCAACTACACAAACAATCAAAAAAGTATAAATATACTACACATATAAAGCATATATATATATATACATAAGATATACAAAAAATATACATCAAATAGTTGTCGAGTTTGGTAAAATATAATAATATCTGTTCTCTGAAAAAAAACAGAGCACGACGCGCAACGGAACAGGCACTAGTGGAAGAAAACCGCCATGGAACGCCTTCCAAATACTGCTTTTCCTAGACCTTTTCGTTTCAAACCTATTTCTTTCTCGATTCAAAACTACACCAGAAAAAACAATGAAAATGGATAGCATGACGAAAAAAACCACGCCCCCCCATTATCTCTGCCCAAAAAAACATGCACACCCCCAAAAAAATTCCATCTGAGAAGACGACTCTTCTCGACTGGAAAACATACGGGTAAGATTAGGGATCGTGGTTTCTTTGTCATCTTTGTAATGGCTGCTTTGTAGACTCTCAATATTCCAATTTCCAACCACCAAAAAATGACCGAGTATCAAAGAAGGCCAGCCCCCAAAAAATCTCAAACTGCAGAAATCGAGATACAAACACCGACCTCACGAAAATTGGCCGTCCAAAGCCGCACCACGGAGGTCCTCATAACGACTACCAAATTACTCAAGTCCCGTAAATCTAGACCCATCGAAAAAAAAAAAGAGAGAGATATAGAGACGAGATGAAGAACAGATGAGAGGAAGAGAGAGAGAGATATAGCGAGAGAGTTGTAGGATATTAAATCTCATTAAGTTAGGTAATTAATTCCAATAAATCAGTCTTAGTAATCTTACAAATGAAATAATATTTTCGTATATATGCAATAAATTTTCTGTTGTTTCGTTTCTCTAAATACATCATGTTATTAGTCTCCTCTTATCATAATTCACGCCCACTTCTCGACTTCTTAAGCAAGACTTCGGACAAAACTAAGTGCAATAGAAACAGAGAAATCATGAATATGGATTTTTTTTTTTAATTTGCAAAGAGTTTGTATGTCATCACATAAATTTTGGTAACAAAGTTATAAGAAGGAAATTATTTGAAAATTACTTAGAATTATTAAACAATGTATTAAAAGTGTTTATAGAAATTTTCTAGATTAACTAAATTATTTATATTACAAATCAATATGGAATAATATTATATAGATAAGATATTTTTGAATTGAAATTCTAGAACGACACTTCTTTTAATAATGGGTGAAGTATTCATATAACTTAAATTCATGAAATATTATATGCTATGAAAACAAAAATAAAAGATAAATAATAAAATTACTTTTAGATATTATTATAAAAATTAATGTATGCAAATAACTTAAATTTTAAAATATTATATACCCTGAAAATAAAAATAGAAGATAAATAATAAAATTACTTTCATATATTATTTTTAAATTAGTTGATATTTGCTCACCAACTTAATTTCATTATTAAAAGTTATGACATTTCATTCTCTCTCCATATTGTCTCGAAGATACAACAATTTGTTCACATGAAATAGGAGATATATATTTAAATGAGCTCTAGTGCTATCTTTAAGTGTTGTGCTTTTCCACAATTTGTGTATCACATGAAATAGGATATATATATTTAAATGAGCTCTAGTGCTATCTTAAGTGTTATGCTTTTCCACAAACAAAAGATTTGCACAATACAAAAATTATGGTGTGAGACAACTTATAGTGGGTCGACCCATCGTACTTTGTGAATAGGAATATATACTTATTCTATTAAGTATCATACTTTTGTGTGCTGTTTTTAAAATATGACATTTTTTTAGTAAAAGCGTGTATATTTGTGAAATGACTATGTTGCCGTAATTGTGAGGCCGTCGAACAAAAGGCTTACAAGAAGATTCATAAGTATACAACAATATAAAACGACGATAAACATCATTACAACGCAATCGAGACACAAGCTAGCTTTCTTTGTCAGGCATATAACTC